GTTAATTGATAATTTTAGTGCCACTCTTCCTTACCACTTTTGACTTTTAAATTTTGTTGAGTACAACACGTGGGGTCGAGGATTGAATTTACAATCTCATGATTGGAAGTAATATGCCAACTTTTTGACTTTTAAATGGATGGTGGCATCTCTTCATAGAATTGTCATTAAGTTTACTGTATTTTCCTAATATTATTTTCTAGAAAAATGATGTAATATTACATAAAAATTAATATTATTATATGAGTACCTTATATATTGTCATGTGTAGGGACGTATCCAAATAATATAATTTGAGTTGGGTCGGATATAAATAATATTTTGAAACCAGTAAATTATGTCTTAAAATAAAATAAAACCAGGTAAGTGCATTTAGTCTTCTTTTTATTTTTAGTTCAATTGATAAAGAGGTGGGAATTTTTTTTCCTTTTTTTGCAGGTGGGTATAATAGATATTTTATTCACTTGAGTTACGTTATCGGATGTATACTAGGAGCATTGAGATTAAGATATCCTAACTAAGTTACTATTATTATTATAAACCACTACGAAAATTATAGCATACATAGTAAAAATAAGAATGCATACAACTTAATTAGTAATTCGTACTAAAAATAATTTAATTAACAATTGTTAGGATTATGATTAATAAATATCTAAGTTAGCCATCAATTTATAATCAATAACTATCACATGAAATAAAATTATATTAGACATTGTTATTTAAATTAATTAATATTGTAATAAAAAATAATTAATGATTTATAATCTTTCAAATATTCCGTATTTGTAATTTTAAAAAATGAAATATCTATAATTAATTTTAAGATAATAAAATTTTATAAAGATTTAGGGTTTTCTATTTTTTAAAATTAAACTTTTATAATAAACATTTCTATGTGTTTCTTTATTTGTCATTTACCATATTAAAAATGTTTTCATAATCTAGCCCATGTTTTATAAACTCAAGAAAAAAAAAAGTAGCTAAAAATTTAAATGTATTTCTAAGATGTATTTCTAACTATCATATGTTTTTTTTAAAAAAACAAAAAGACAATCATAAATTTTAAAATAGAAAACTAGAAACTAATCGTAGTGTATGAGCTGAAAAATGAAATACCCATTTAAATTTTCAAAATGATTCTTTAAGAAGGTATACCTGTGTAAATATGAAATTCTATTTTGTCATATTTTTGTAAAATAAAATGAATACATATTAAACATTAAATTTTCAAAAGAAGAATTTGAGGGGCTATATATATAATGTATAATTTTAAAAATATTTAATTGTATTGAATAGTTAATATTAGAGATTAAATTTAATTACATAACCTAAAATTACACTAATAACCTCAAGTGAGAATTTTCCATGTTAACTAATTGGTTGAGTCAGTCTTAGCCTCCTAAATTGGGCTTTTCTTGAGTAAATATATGTATAAGATTTTGAAAATGATGTCAACTTTTCTTGGATTCAACCAACCACGTGATTTCATTGATCAATTAGACGTTTGTCAGCCCATCTTAGACTACAATTAATATAATATTATACAAAACGATATTTATCATTATTCATTATTGTTTTATGAACCCCCTATTATATATTATTTAAAATACGAAGCTTTGATATTTATTTTTTCTTTAATATTCATGAATACTTTTAATCTAATCAACCTATGTTACATAATAGCTATAGAAAATTATTTGTTTAATCAGGTTGTGAAAATTCTTTTTTAAGTTAAATTATGACCAACAAAAACACACATGAAAGGATAAAGATAAAATTTATTAATCTCTATATTTTTAGGTCGTACTAACAAAAATCTCTATATTTTTAGAAAATTTAATTATAATTAAAACTTTTATTATATAACCTCGATAATTTATCCTTGGTGATGTATGTTTTTAAAATCTTGACCACTTATATTCACTAGTATTAGGTCTTTTTTAGTTAGATAATTGAGATTAATAATTCATAACATATGATGATAGAGATTATTGAAGTTTAAAAGTATACCGTGACAATGAGATCGACACAATTAGAAAAATCAAATAGCTGGAAAGGTATAAATAAAGTCTTTTTGAAGACATTAAATTGATCTTAACAATAAGGATAGGCATTATAACGGTAATAAAATTTTAAACAGTAATTTTGCTTGCTTTTCCAATAAAGTCAGCTCAAAATGTCAAGGGCAATGATGTGAAAATGGTGAAATTGACTAAAGGAAATTAGCTCAACTTGGATATATTGGATTCCCCTCATAATATAATGACAGACCTGGTCCAACTTGCAACCTTAGCCTTTTGCACTTAAAAACTCTTTAGAATCTGCTTTTGACTTTAATTAGAAATATACATATAGATAATTAAGGAAAAAGAAATTGAAGTTGGAAACTTGAGCATTTTTTGTGCTTCAGTTTCAAATTTGTCATTTCCCATGATATAGATTCCTATACTTCATCATTTGAATTCATAATCTCCAATAATATAATAATATTATGAAAATTATGGTTAGATTTTTCCACATGCAAAATAGAGAAAAATCTCCTAAGAGATTATTAAACATTGATGTGGTATTTGTCAAAATAATTGATTTGACCATCATGTCTGAGAAAGATGACAAAGACACGTGTGAAAAGAAAAAATTGTAAAAGCTTTTGTATATATCGTGTGAGTAATGTATGCATGTACACTCCCATAATTTGTAAAATGAAGAGTCTTTGTTGTAAGTTTCTTCTATATGAAAAGTAAAATTCCTTGTTAGATGAGAGTCTTATTTGATAAATGAATTATGATTAAGGTCAAAACTCTCAAGGAAAAGTCTATGATTTAATTAGTAGAATTCATGAAAATAAAGTCTTTTAAGTTGAAGATGAATTTGTTGAATAGAAAATACCATTATATCCAATCCAAGAAAGTTGTTGATGCAAGAGACCCTAAGCTGTGATGCTATGATGATGTATTCTCAATTAAAACATGTATCGAACATAGATATATGTCTTTTAAAAGATAATTCAAGTGGTGAATACTATCTTGATTATGGGATAACTATCGATCTCTTTAAAAGAAAGTTGATTTAATTGTTCCATGTTAAATCGGGTAAAAATTTTCAAACAGTTATTTTAAATCAGAGGCGGATCAAAATTTTTTATTAATTTCTTTTAGCAAATTCAAAAATATTTATGCATACCAATCGAACCATACTCATATAAGTGGAAAATACCCTTTCATTTCTTACTAGTGATAAGCTTTAAATGTAAATATTATTTATCTCTCATGGCTATAACTATATCATGATGAGTTCTAAGATATGTTTTTTAATTATTGGGGTATGACACGATAGCAAGAGCTTTAGGCTAGGTCTTGGAGTTCAAGCATGCATGGTACTAGTCACTGTGTTGTTCGATCCAAACAACGAATCCCGATTTATAGGCATCCACAGGCTAAAAGCCACACCGTATCGATTTCAAAAAATCAAATAAAAATCTATTACATGCAGCTTTAATATGAAATTCTTGTTTATGGGATAAAGGGTCGATCTAACCTAAAGCAGAGTGATTAAATTTGATATATAAGTATTGAAAGGAAATTGGAAGAAGGATTTGATCCAATTTAAAAATTAAAATTGGTTATTAAGATATATATGTGTTGATCGGTTGGTGGGACCGTGGGATCTAATCATCGTAAGCAAGTGGTACGTTTTTTGT